TTCTTTGTAGGTCATGCCCCCCCTGAAACCCCCCACGTTGTTAAATTTACTATTTTCAAACATCAATAACTCTATAACTATTGGTATGCAGAAAAAACGAAGACCATATTCGTGTTCAGCATGCAAAATACTACTAGAAAAGAAGTATATAAAGCGTGAACATGAGACGGGTGCATAGGTAAAAAAACAACCCCGTTTTTTGTTATGTTTTAGTATAGATTTTACGGCGCTCACAAATGCATAAGGTCATATGAGCAGCAGAAGATTAGAGGTGTTACAAGAGAGTAACAAAAATAATGAAGAAGGGGGGGAGATAAGGACGATAGATGTTTGATAGGAAAGAAGAAGCAAACCACACCAGAGCACCCGCCAACCACCCACTTAGACAGTTTAGGGATTAAACCGTCAACAGCCTCCATTTCTCTCACTGAATGTGTGTACATCATGTGCGTTTACAGATAAGATAGACAGACAGCCTGAATTGCACACCACTAACAACACAAAAAGCCTAATTCGTATAAGTACTAAGATTAGATAGAAGTGTTACAAGAGAGTAACATACGAAGAAAAGGAGGAAGACAGATTAAAAAAAGGACGATAGATATTCATTCAATAGCCAAGACGGAGGGTATCACACTAGATTTAGAGCACCCGCCAACGACACACATACATTCTATTTTTGTCTTCTTCTGTTTGATCATGGTGATAAGTCTATTATCAGTACCAGTAATACTATTAGCTGAAGCATCCGCGCAAATATCACACACTCCCACGTAACCCCCCACCCCAACTTGCAAAGATTTGTCGTGTCTAGAAAAATCTGTAGCTAAGCCAATTTGTTGTGATAATGCAACCAAGAGGCTGCAGCATAGGCCTATATAAAGGACGCTGAAAAAGAAGGAGGCAGTAGATCTACTCTCAAACCGAAGGGTCGTGTCTAATAACAATTTTTGCTGTCAGAAGAGGTGTGTTTGAAAGCTTTGAGTTTGAGTTCATTCATCTCCGTCCGTATTGCCATCATGTCGGTGCTGTCAGTGTGGCCAGAGGTGAGAGAGTCATGGATAGAAGAAGGTAAGGGTAGATCTAGATCTAGATGTGTGTCCTTTTCCTTAGTTCTAGTTTAATTAATAATTTCTTCGTAATTTTGTTGTTGCCATTAACGTAATAATAAGTTATTTAGCTTATGTAGAGAGAGCTTGAGAGAGAGAGAGAGAGCTTGAGAGAGAGAGACAGAGAGAGAGAGAGAGAGA